TTAAAATTCATTAATCGTCATTAACTACTTCAAAACTTTTAATGTTTAGCTTCGTCTTCGTTAATGAGTTTATGTTTCTTCAAAAGAAAAAAATAAATAATAGTCATGAACTAAGAAGATAATCTACGTTTTCTTTTAGCCATCTTCACTATCTATCCATACATTAAATTGGTCATCAATAGATTTAAATATCTCTATGTTTATTAATCATAATGATTCTCAATCTACATTCGATCAATTTGGTATTGATCGTTCAATAGTCTGTGTACTTAAATATGCACCATATTATTTATGTTTAACATATATTTGTTTTCGATTAACATATCTTGTCATAATTAATATCTATCATTTATTTCTATCTTGTGATAATACAAAAAATTCTATTAAAAAATCATTAAAACATATTTATCATAAACCAATAAATTGTTCAAGAGAAAGTCTTTCCATTGAATATCATTATGTTCATCATTTATTTGAAAAATCATTTGAAACATTAATAAAAAATGAAAAGAAAATTTCTTTATTTAAAATTTTACTTTATAAAATTTATCGACCAAATAAATATTTTCATTATTCAAAACAAATATTAAATATATATATGATTGCATTTATGTTAATATATTATTTAACATTTAATATTTTACAAAATGGTTTTAATCTCATTGAAAAAATTTATAGTTTTACTTTAATACCATTATTAATTCTTTATGATGAATTTGATTTACCTGAACCAAAATTATATAATCTTAAATATGAAATGATTTTAGCATGTTTTTTAACAGCAATTATTTATTTTATACAATTATTATTTGGAATGAAAAATTATCAAAAACATATGCTTAATGCTTATAAAGGTATTTTTATTGATATACCACCACGATCAGCATTTAAAAATGTTCGATTAATATCAAAACATATACATTATCCTGGATATTGTATTGCTTATCTTACGATTGGATATATTATTATAGGCAATATTATTTTTTTTTCTTTAATTGCTTTACATGTTTTATTTAAACATTTATTTCTTATGGAAGAATTTGCAACAATATTCATACCTATTCTTGTTATTTATTTAATAACATTTATTATACAATGGTTTTTATCAAGAACATTCTTTTTACAAAAGTAAGTATATTAATAATATCATGAAGAGTTTTCAAATATTTAAAAACTGTTCATTATTCAAAAATTTATCTACAAACCTATTCATTCATTATTATGTTTTCCAAAAGTAGTTTATATGTAACCGACTTTGTTATTGATAAATTTTTGGATTCATTTGGCAATTCATCATTGTTCGATAATCGAAAATGGACTATTTTGATGAGATCTGATCGATATCAAATCAACTCGAGATTAGAAATATTTAAAAAAAAAACGAGCATTGAAGAAATTTTTGAGATGTGAGACGAGTAAATTTTTGGATTATTTTCTCTAGACTAGAACCAAAAAAATGATCCTAAATATATCTAGTATCGACAAACTTGTAGTATGATTATTATTAATTTTGTGGAACTCACATAACTTTTGATGAAGGTTTAATTTTTAAACTTCGACTTTTTTCGACTTTTCTTATCATCTTGTCTAACAGACACTTGTTCTTAAAAGCACTTTTGTTGCTTTATAACATTCATGTTCAGAACCAGCTTACAGTCTTCTTATGAAAATATTTCGTTATTTTACTTTCATTTTGTCCGTTAAGTAAAGAACTACAATGACATAAATCGTTTTGTTTTTGTGTACCACTAGTGTGATTAGTCGCTTTCTATCAGAGAATATACTAATATCGGGCTCTTTCCTTCTCTGAAAGACCGTGACAGACATAACCATGAAATTGAAGTTGAATACAGGATTATACTAAAAGATTATTGAATTGAAGATATCAGTTATTGCCCATTTTTTTAAAATTGACTATAATGTACTATGATCAGTATCTCTCATCATGAACATACATTTATAATACGCTTGAATTTACAAATCGAAACATACATTGTCAAATTTTGCATTCTACACAGTTCTGTCGTGTTTGACATTTTAATTCTGCAGAAATCGTACTAATAGCTTTTTATAAAAGTTTTATTTCAATCGAATTTCAATATATAATTACTCTAATCAGCATAGAACACGACGACATTACATATTATGCCGATAATATCTATGTCTATTGAACACAATAATGTTCTTATTCTTCTAAATTTTGCGAATAATATTTAAATTATTTTAGACATGGAAAAACGATGATATTAAAAAATCTTCGAATTTATTTTGTGTTTTCTTATTTCAATTTTTTCTTCGATTGTTTTCTTGGTATAGTATCTTCTATATTTCGTCTATTAAAAGCATGGATAACTAATTTTGGTTTTTTACCACGTTTGGATTATTGTATACTTGGACGATCATTAGAAAAAATGGATTCAGGTTTTATATCATATGCATCATTCATTCATATGGAATGTCTTCATACACATCCTGTACTTGTTTATTTTTGTTCAATTATTAATGAACATATTAATAAGCGTTATCAATATTTACGAACATCTAAACGAGATATTTATTTATATACAAAACAACAACAGATTATATTTCGTTGGTGGTTAGCAATAACATTAAGTCGAAATAGACAATTAATACAATTAAGAAAATATCAATTTATGTATTTACAAATATCAAGAATAGAAAGTTTTAATGAATTATTTGAAAAAAAATTATTGAGAAATTTTCAAAATTATAAAATAATAACAAAAAATGATGAAAGAATTAATTCCAATACGATTATTCGAAATCATACAACAACATGTACAACTTTATTACTTGATGTTGATGAACAAGATGATCGAAAATCATCATTTTAAATTATTATATTGTGTATTGTTGTTTTGTCTTTCAGTCATATATATATTAATGTTTGTTCAATGAGAACAGTTCCATCAAACATTTATATCTGTTTTGTTTTTTTTTTACCGCTATTAATTGTAAAAAAGAATAGTATTATAACAGCGCTGTATTCCTAGCTTGTTTTCTTTGCGTTCATTTTGAGTGTGTATTCATGTGTGTCCTATATCTTTGTAGTCTATTTTTTGATAAAGAACAGGTTTTTATTTATTTGGTTGTGCTTATAGTACGCCAAATGTGATTTAACTATAATGACGACACAAAAAAATTGAATCATCAGTTATTATCATAAGAGATGAAACAGACTTTTTTTCAAATCTTTTTCAAATAAATGATCATGATTCAAGTGTATTTAATAAGAATAATAACTATTGTGAAACATCATTTAGATGATTACTGTCGAGACCGGTGAAAAGTGTCTACTATCCCGACGTGTTCATCTATGGGAGAAGTCATATATATGTTACTAGTTGTACTGATGAAGAAGAAAGTTGATCATGTTCGAGTCTAATGATCACTTTCATCGAGAAACTAATGAATGTAAAATATGAGCTTTCTATGGCATGCCTGAACAGTGACATTCAATTAAGTTATGCATTATTTGAGCATAGAAGCATGATAGTATATGAACTATTTACATCAATATTTTAAAAAAAACTCAATCGTTCAATAAAAAGTGATTTTCTATTTTTTAAAATGATCGAATCGCTAAGCTCAATACGAAATTCTAGAAATGTTTATACGAATTTACTTTCGACTTTTCAATTAGAACATCGAATTTCTTTTTTCTCTTTTTCTCGATATCGTATTTTCAAATTAGTAGAAATTCATAGAATGTCCTTTCTTTTTTATTCGCCTCAAGTTATTTTCGATTTTACAGTGCTGTATTTGTACATGGATTTTGAAAAACATGCTTGGTATCTGTACTTTTAAAAAGATGCTTGATACTTATTCTCGTACATGGAGAAAAATATTTCGTACTTAGATGCTGCGTTCATTATGACTTACCAAGTATAACTAGCAAGTACTTTTCTCAAGGGAAAGGTTTATGTAACAAGTACTGTTTTGAAACACAAACACAAATACAAAGTTTTTGTCCAAAGTACAAGCCAGTCTTTAAAGTACAAATCAAATACTCTCACTTTCTATTCTTGTCTTACGTCTGCATTAATTTAGTAGATTTTTCAAAATTTTAGCCTGTTTTCAGTTGATTATTTTTATTAGAAACAATGCTTCTAGTTAGGACGAATTCAGTTACTCGCTAATAATTGCTAGCCTGTTTGGTAATTTTTTATATAATTGAATGACTTTTACATCATTCTTATCAGTAGATATTTCTGCACTTAAAACATGTAAAAACACATCTATATGGTTACATACAAATTGCAATGAAAAAAAGAAACTCTTCAATTTTTTAAGAGTTGTTCGAATTAGAAATATTCATTATAGAAGTATATAATTTTAAAACAAAAACAAATCATGTATATACGTTTATTTGTTTACATATTTCTGTATTTTGATCGTAAGTTCATAGACGGTACTTTTGATTCATAATAACGATGTCAAAAAAATATATGCACCTGAACTAACAAAAAAATAAATGAAAAAAAAGAATGAAACACTTGTTAGGATTATGTACTTAGTACATACTAGAGAAGCAATACCTTGAAATTACTCATAGACAATATTTTGAAGGCAAATTTTTTTCATCGTGATTTTCTTTATGACTGCACTTTTACATTTAATGTAATAATTTTGTCACATGAGACCCATTATTTTTTTGCGTTTGCCTCGGTTTTTTGTTACAATCAGCAAATGTCAATTTTTATTTTTGTTTTCTCTTTTTATTTTAGACTATTGCGTATACGTCTATTTGTCCTATTATAATAGACAGCCCTTATGATGTTTGCTGATCCTCGTCTCGGATCAGTTATTTTTATTTTCATGGTAGATCTTGCCTATAAATTATGTCGTATCATCGGTTTATTGTAGGTGAGTCCATTATCGTCATTCTCGAGAAGCTTTTCAATTGTTCATTTTATAAGAATCAGTTCGTCTATTAGTCAACAAAATTAAAATTCAATATACATTCTTTGAAAAAAAACATGCACCACTATGCTATATTATTCAGCATATTTCTTCTAATAGTGTCTTCTGGTACTGAGGGAAGTTTACCACAAACATCCTCTCCATCTGTATTGTATGTTTGGTCCGGACAAGACAGTTCTGTATCTAATGCCTCTGATTTCGTTGCTATAATTGATTTTGATGAGACGTCTTCTACCTATGGGAACATTTTGAAAACAGTTTCACTTGTTTCGGATGCTGCCAACCGTATTGGACAATTAGGAAATGAACCACATCATTCAGCTGTTTCTGCAGATGGTCGTTATTTTATTGCCGGTGGTCTTCTTAGTTTCATGTCTGGCAATAAAGAAGTGTTTGTCTATGATATTCCCAATAATCGCAAGCAAGGTCCAAGATTTCTATATGCACTTGATGTACCAGGTGCGTGTCCAGACGAGTTTTTACCACTCGGTGGTCCTACATTTCTTGTAAGCATGATGTCTAATGAACAGGGTGACAGTCCAGGTGATATGGTGTATATCAATGCTGAAACTGGTATGGCAAAATCAATCCTCAAAAATAGTTCAGCACTCATCGATTTTAATCCACATGGGTATGGTCTACTTCCCAATGGGTCATTATTCGTAGCAGACTATATTAAAGCAAATACATTATTCAGCACTGATCCATCACAGATTGTCTTTCGAAATACGGCTTGACATTTTCTTCCTGATGGAACATTAGAACGTACTTTTGAATTCAAATTCCCTACGACACCGGGAACATCAGCTGGAGTTGGACAGGGAATTGGATTTATGGAACTTAAAACTATTCCTGGTGATCCATTGGGACGTTCTTATGTCAGTGGTAGTACTGTGAATAATATGTATTTAATCGGTCCAGGTATGAAAAAACCAATTCTAGCTATTGATTTCTCGCAAGTCAGTGGATATCAACAGCGACTGAGTGCTGGTCTTTTGTCCATGTTTTCCAATGGTCAACGTTTATTGATGACATTTCAAATGCGATATATTCTTTTAGTTGATATTACAAGACCAGAACAACCGAATATTCTTCGTACATTCGATTTTTGCTCTGATCCATCACTCGAAAATGTGATTATTGGTGTTCCTGGTTCATTCGAAAATACCACTTTTGCCAAATTCTGTACTCAAAACAATAATGTCGTTGGTTCACATAGTGTTCTACATCCAGACAATGAGAATCGATTCATAGTACTGAACTATTTTCTCAAATTTGGCTTGGCTCAATTTCCTGGAACACGAACAGCACATGCCTTTAAACTTAACAATGATTCAACTGATTTCGAATATGATCACAGGTTTAATCCTAATTTTCAATTAAATGATCTACCTGGAAAACAACGTCTAACATTCCATTCACTACAAGCATATCCACATCATCTTCAATATTTAAAATTATAGAAATAGAAACACTATTTATCAAACTCTAAAATACGAACATACAGCTTATTATTATATTGACTTAAATTAATTTTCTTTTTTAGTTTAACGAGAGACTTTTTTTTATATTCATTTTTTATAGTAAAGTTGTGTAATGTGGATGTGATTATTCAATATGCTCAATAAAATAGAATGTATGGCCTGTATGCGCACTATAAATTTTAAATAAATTCTATTTTGTAGAAAGCTAACTTTGAAAAGGTTAGAGAATCTTCAAACTTTCATTTATTCATTGGTCAAATTTTAATATTTTTAGACAATGCTCTATTTACCCATTAATGAAAATTCGATTTGATTTTCAAAAAGCTTCATTTTCCGGATAATGGAAAACTAACACAGCTTGTAAATAATCTTTGAAAATAAATTCGAATTTCGTAAAAATTGATTGTGCTAATCTCAATCTGTTACTTCTTATTGTTTTGAAAATTTAACTGATCTAATTATCATTAAATCACATACATAGTATATAACTTGTATCATGGACTGACATCATATTATAAAACTAAATACAACAACCTTTGGTCATAGTGTAAATAGAATCAATCTCGTTCATTTTACTGCATAATTTATATAAACTAAATAAGATGACAAATTTGCAATGGAATGATGATTTAATTCTTGAATATTAGGGATATAAAAAAAAATTGTTTCTAGGTTTTTATTTATCTCCAATCCTGTTACTTTTTTATCTACTAATACTTATTGTCTCATTATATCAGAAAACATTGCTTTTGTCTTTTTTCTCTTATTTGTTTTTTTTTCATCTAGCCTGCTTGTTGATTGTCAGTAATCACGACTATTATCATCATCATACTAACATAATGTCATTAGTGCACTTTACATTCATTTTTGTCTCTTCTTTTCTACTGTACATACATTTTTAACAGATACAGAATATGCGCATTAGTAATATGTTTTTATTTTGTTATGCAACGATGACGGTAATAGAATTATTCTTTCACTAGAAGTGTATGTATTTTCGTGTTTTTCAGGATTATGATCGTTTTATCAACATTTCATTCGTTTATTTGTATATATTTGATTCCCTTATCAATGTCTATTAATAGTGTACCACAATATACGGTTTATTCTGTGAATATTGTGACTCAAAATTTGCTAATACTGATTTAAATCATTTATTCATCATTTTCGTAAACATTTCTCACAGTTTTTGTCTGGCGAAGAAGCTTCATCATCATTATTATTCAATTATGATAAAATTAATGTTTACATTGATGATGAAATCGAATAACAACACGTATTGGTTGAATGTAAACAACATGGTCAATTAGAAGAATTTTAAAGAATTCTACATTTAAATACTATCAGAACTTCGTGAAGATCATATATTTTCTAGACATTTAATACAGATAGTAGCATTATTTATTGCTTGTTTCATACAGACCTTTCTCATATTATTAAGTAAACTTAATATAATTATCAATTCATAATTTATGAACACGTGATAAATCTTCTTTAAATACTGTATATTTACTTTTATCACACTAAAAATAAAATTTTGAAGATGAAAAAATCGTCAAGTATTATTTAGAGAATTATATGTCGATTTAAAAAGTTTAGAAAATGATTATATTGTAGTATCCGGTATTATAACTCCAGGTTATTTTACAATCAGTATTATACCTATTGACAATACCGCGGATATATTTTCTAGTGAAACACTTGATTAAAAAAAAGACAAGATAGATCATAAACATTTTTGCTAAGTAATAAATATATAAAAAAATATTGATACATTGCCATTTAGACAAAATCTATGGTCTTTCGAGCCCGCTCATCACATGTCAATATTGTATTGTGTAAGAATGAATTTTAACGGACAAAGCAAAAAATTGTTATTGAATAAATAATTTATTTTTTTTTTACTTTTGTTGAATAGGTTTTTTTGTATGTCTTTACGTTGATAAATTTATTTAACATATTTGTAAATCTTGTGTATCTATTTGTTAATTGAAGCCTTTAAAAATTAGAAGTATTTGTTTTCTTTTTTTCTTTTTTCCTTTTACTCCATTTTAGTTTAACAAACTACAGGATGGATCAATGAAGATATCTTTATACAGCTAGACCAGAACGGTTTCGATAGTTTTCGGATCCCAGGTATCGATTTTTTTGTATCTAAAACGACAGTCAAGATTTCTCTATCGAATGGCATATGAACGAAAAATATTTATGTTCATTTAGATTCTTCAAAAACCATTCATTTGATATTTCCTATACAAAAAATCACGTTCTATGACTCTGCCGTATTGTATATGATCTGTACTAATGGAGTTATTTCATCATCAAAATGTGTTATGTGAGTCAGCAATACATCTTTCTAGCCGCTTTGCAACTGCTTTAATCAATAGCTATGCATAACATATGAAAACCAGCAAAAATACCGAAAAAATGTCGTTTTAACTTATTTCGAGTTTTTTTCATAATCAACTTTTTTACAGAACAATACAGTTTTTTCCCCGTTTTCTCCTAGACGCTTTGACTGATTGAGATGAATTTTTTGTGTGACAACTAGAACCAAATTGTGGCGTATGTTTTTCTTTTCTTGAAATAATGCTCTGATGATTTTTCGTAGATCTTACAAAACTTGTCCCAAGGAGAAAAACACGTTTTTTTAAATAGGGCTTTCAGTATTTGTGTTCTCCTAAAAAAGGAAACACGATTTTTCAAAGAAAACAAAACACGCACCCCGATTCGGTTCTGGCTCCTATAAAAAAATCAACCATATATAATGAATTTCGGCTGTTTGCGCGAGGGAGAAAACTTTAGGCCATTTTTAGCATTTGTGCTCTCTATATCTTATAGAAGGAAGGATCTGGGAATGCAGAGTCTATGACAACTTTTACTCTACCAATGGAGATCTATCTACCCTAAAAATGTCATAACTTTTCGTCGAGCCGTGCTTCAGAAACCTGAGAAAGAGAAGTGTTCTTAAGCAAAGAAAAATTCGAATATCTTCACTGCATTTTTATTAAATCAGCCGATTTTTTTATGAAGTAGAAGATAGTTTCAAGCTTTTATTCATGAATGAACACCTTATTCATGTACATAAAATTAGCAAACTTTTGTTCTCTTTACTACTAAACAATACATAAAAGTTTCTAACTTATAACTATAGATCGATATTAGAAGATATTCTTTTATATATTTTGTCAAATAGCATAACTGATGTATATATAATTGTATGTTAGTCTGTTTGCTTCGTGTTTCAAAAGAAGAAAATAAGAATGAGAGAAAGATTAAACTTAGTAAATGATTTAATTTTTAGTACAAAGTCATACAGATTCTTTAGTGATATAGTAGACACAAATTTACTGCTTTTACGAGTGTAAATGGACTGTTCATTCATGAATAAAAGTTTGTCACTGTCATCTACTCTCACAAAAGATCAGCTCATTTGATCGAAGTGCGGTGAAGATATTCAAATTTTTCTTTCTCTAATGACTTTTCGGACATCCCTTATTCATCTGAATAAATAAAAATAAATCTTTGATAAACTTCATATTATCTACATGAAATATATCTTCAAAGCTATTTTCTTCTTGATCCATATTAAGATAACCTTCAACGCTTCTTTCTGACTTTAATCATCTGATTAGTCGAATAATAAATTGTCCAACGTTCAGCATCAAAAAAGTAGCCCTTATTTTCATAAAGCGTACTTATCTTTTGGGAGAGAAACATATCATGTTCAATCGTCCAAGCGATTAAGTGTTTTTTTTTTCATAAGATATCGATTCATGCATCAATCGCGAATGAAAGTTTAGCATTGTATTTCATAATCGAATGAAACTTGAAGGCTAACTATTTTTAATTGACTATTCATGTAAGAAATTGTTATTATCTTTTCTTTAGAATGATAAATGAATGTAGAATTATAGAATCAAATGTATTCAAAAATAATCAGAAACATCAGCCAGTTTAGTTTGATCTCTAGGCTAAAAAATGTGGTCTATGAGAAGCTCTAGTGTTCGTCTATGGAAGATGCATTATCAGTACAAACTACTTTGTTCTACCACAATCTTGTTTAAAACGGTAGGTGTTCACTTATAAAGATTGTACTGTAGGTGCTTGATATGAATTTTTATTTGTTTTAAAAATACGTCATTTATTGAGACAAAAAAAAGTCATTCTCTTTGAAAAAAAAACTACTTGTCTTGTCGTGTTGGACAGAGAACAATTTCTCGAATGCAAACACGTTGTGGTTGTTGATATGCAAATAAAATTGAATTAGCTACATCTTCACTTTGTAATGGTTGACCCATTGTTTTTTTCCATTCTTGATAATCATCAACGATTTGTTTTGATGTTGTATGTGACAAAAGTTCAGTATCAACAACACCTGGTGCAATTGTAATAAAACGAACATCATATGATGCTGCTTCTTCTCGAATTTGTTCAGTAAAAGCATGAACACCAGATTTAGTACCACAATAAACAGCATGATTAGCATATGTTTTACGTCCAGCGACAGAACTAACATTAATTATTGTTCCATGACGACGTTCTTTCATTCCTGCTAAGACAACATGTATGCCATTGAGAACACCCATGATATTTACTTGTACCATTTGTTCCCATTCTTTTGGATCTTGTGTATCAGCTAAACCTAATAACATAACACCCGCATTATTGACAAGACAATCAACTGGACCAAATTTTTGTTCGGCTTTTGCTATAGCTGCTTTGATTTCATCTCGATGAGTAACATCAACTTTTTCACAAATTGTATTTGGTAATTTTAATGCTTCTAAACGATCAAGACGTCGAGCTAATAATAATAAAGGATGACCAGCTTTAGAAAAAGCTTGTGCTGTTGCTCCACCTATTCCTGAACTTGCACCAGTTATAACAACTAATCCTTTAGTCGACATTTTTTTTATCTAAAATATTTAAAAATTTACATCGCAATTTGTTGGTTTCTGCGTCACCCTACATCATCA